ATAATCTCTAATGAAATGGGTTGAGGAGGGGAGAACTGTTTGCCTCAACTTGGTCATTCAGAATTATATCTGTGGTTTTTAACTTGTTGATTTCCATAGATTCTAACAAGGATAGCTTAAGGCCTTTATTTTGAATGTGAAGAATTTTAAATTCGTCATTAAAAGAATGATTGTGATCTAGAAGGTGAAGTGCGTATGTAGAATCTGTTTTTCTATTATTAAGCTTAAGCCCTTTTATGTTTCGCTATTCGTTTATTAAAATTTCTACCAGTTTGCCCGATATAAGTTTTTGGACAGTCGCCACATTTAAGTTTAGACATACCACTGTGTAAGTGTTTTTTATTTGGCTCTTGTTGTTTTTAATATATTTGCCTAGGTTGTTATTTGTTCGGAAAGCTGGTGTTATTCCTTTCTTTTTTATGTGTTTGGTTATTTTTGTTAATATTTTGCTTGTATATGTATTCGAGCAGAATGTACTGGGTTTTTTCTCTGGTGGTGAAAATACTAATTTCAGGGCTTTCTTGTGTAGTTTTTGATTTAACATTTTATTAAATGTTTGTTCGTTGTATCCTTTGTTTACTGCTATTTGCTTAATGATATTTAATTGTCTCAAAGTTGTATTTTGACATCGGAATTTCTGTTAATCTATGTAACATACTATGATAGGCTGCCAGTTTATGTTGTGTTGGATGAGATGATGAATTGTGTATAGTCGTGTCAGTATGGGTAGGTTTATGAAATATGGAGAAGTAATATTTGTTTTTTAAGTATGATAATTTTTAAATCTAAAAAAATTATGGATTGATTTTGTTCTGTTTTTATTGTAAATTCAATATGACTATCAAGTGAATTAATATATGATAAAAATTGATCAAGTTGCCTGTTAGTTCCTGTGAAACATTTCAGTACGTCGTCTACGTATCTCCACCAATATAAAAACTGTTTAAATACGGGATGTTTTTAAATCTTTGTCTCTAGATGATCCATAAAAATATCTGATAGCAATGGGCTTAGAGGATTGCCCATTATAAGTCATGTACTGTTATTTGTATACATTTGATTATTAAAATCAAAGTAGTCCTGGTTTATGCAAACTTCAAGAAGATGTAAAATTTCAGATGTAATTATTGAATTTGTACTGTTTTGGTCTAAAAGGTTTTTTTACTAGAATAAAAGTTTCTGTAGGAGGGATACTAGGAAAAAGATTTTTACGTCGAATTTTTACATTTTCAATTACCTAACAACCCCAGATTAATTTCATTTAACGTAAAAAATCTTTTTCCTAGTATCCCTCCTACAGAAACTTTTATTATAGTAAAAGCTTTTTAGACTAAAATAGTACAAATCCAATAATTACATCTGAAATTTTACATCTTCTTGAAGTTTGTATAAACCAGGACTACTTTGATTTTAATAATCAAATATATACAAATAACAGTGCAGGACTTATAATGGGCAATCCTCTAAGCCCATTGCTATCAGATATTTTTGTGGATCATCTAGAGACAAAGATTTCAAAACATCCCGTATTTAAACAGTTTTTATACTCGTGGAGATTCGTAGACGACGTACTGGTATGTTTCACAGGAACTAACAGGCAACTCGATCAATTTTTAATTCACTTCATAATCATATTGAATTTACAATAGAAACAGAACAAAATCAATCCATAAATTTTTTAGATTTAAAAATTATCAGACTTAAAATCAAACATGACTTCTCCATATTTCATAAACCTACCGATACTGACACGACAATACCAAATTCATCATTCCATCCAACACAATATAAACTGGTAGCCTCTCATAGTATGTTACATGGATTAACAGAAATTCCGATGTCAAAATACAACTTTGAGACAGACTTAAATATCATTAAGCAAATAGCTAATGACGATATTTCAAAACTCCACTGACTATTCACTAACAACTTGAATCTCTTCATTTTTTTAGTTTTGCGTCTTTATCGTTACAAAAAATATAGGAGTGATCTTTCATTAACAAATGACCACACAAATCACATATTTGCTTTAGTGTAGTTCCCAAATACATGGCCAAAATTTGAAGCTTTATAGATTTTAGTTTGCTCATTGTAGCCGCTAATTAGTCTTATGCTTGCTGGCTACAACGGTATTAAAGAGGATAGGGTTTAATATGTCAAAAAAGGTAAATTTTTCTTCTCGGTATGTCGGCGCATTTCAATTAGTAATCTAGAGCATTCCCTTTCCCAAATTTGAGCGCGCTTATGTTTCTGTGGTTGAAAATTTCTGTTGTTGGAAAACTTTTGCTTAATTTATTTTCATATTATTTATGTTAAAAGTTGTATTACAACATTCAGTTTATTAATTTTTAATGTAGATATTTTTCGCAATAAACATGTTTCAAACGAATGAGCGTATATAGGTACTGTGAGGCACTGTCTGTAACTCGTTAGCAAGTTCCAATAAAATCCTCCATCTTGTTCGGGGTACCTTAGCCATAACATCATTGTTTGATTTATTGAAGACAATAAGGTAATAATAATTGAAATTATAATCTAAATTACCATTAGATATTTTTAAACTTACCTTTTTTTAATCCTGTCAGTTCTGACATATTTATAAAAGTATTTAAATAGGTAAATTGTATATTGTGTATGATCACACTATATTGAGAAATGAGACAAAGTTCGACCAGCTTGATCATCGCCGAAAAAAAGTCATAGAACTCGGGAAACAACCGGACGAAAGCAATTCCGAATTAATAATCTTTATCAATACCAAAACTATTAAAAAATAACAGAGAAGGTAAAACACAACAAAATGTTGCGAAGATTATAAAGAAAAACCTAACAACTGTACAATACATAATAAAAAGACGAAAAGAAAGTGCAAATAAATTTCAAACTAGAAATACGAAAAAGTTACGTATGAATTATAATGTCGCGATCACTATAATAACACGATAAATTTGGCAACATCTACAGAGGTGGAACCGTACTTGCAACATCATTTAAAATATACAAATGAGACCAAAGAGTACGTTCAGTGTATGGAGGCAAACAAGAACTAGACAAATAAAATAACTGTATAAAATTAGGTTAATAAATATTTACCCCTCTTTCTTTGCCTTTATAATATACATCAAAATAAGATTAATGATGCATTATATGTGCATATACTCCCTCTAGTTTTGGTGGAGGGAGGGACGTCTGTTGTATGTACGGAGGCAAAAAGGATACAAATGCACATATATATATATATATATATATATATATATATATATATATATATATATATACGTATATTCTGACCCGGTCACGCTTTACTGCGGCTTGGTTTTTATATACGGCTAATATTATGGTCAATTTATTTAACAGAGTTAAGTAAATATTACGTCAATTTCTCTATACACACCAGATAAAATGTCACTGAACAGCACTGGTTCCGTTTAAAACATGGCTGATTCCGTCTGAGAGAACGAGTTGCGCGTACTGATCTTGACAAGCAGAGTGGACATTCTGATTGTTTATTATTCTGTGGTTCTGGCTCCCAATTTTCTTATATAATATATTTGTGGCATTGTTTCTAAAAAATATATCAGTATTTTAATCAACAAACAAGGGGTTACTTTGTGACATTCTACATATCACAAAGTAAACAATACGCTTGTACTTTTTTTACAAATATTTTTATGAAACAAAGTAAAAGTCGATTCAAACACATCAGTCACGTCTCGTCACAGTTCCGGCGCCGAACCGAACAATCCGTCATACAAAATATTATTTAAGGTCGCGGTCGATTCAGACACATCAGTCACGTCTCGTCACAGTGATTGCGCCGAACCGAACAATCCGTCATACAAAATATTATTTAAGGTCGATTCAGACACATCAGTCACGTCTCGTCACAGTGATTGCGCCGAACCGAACAATCCGTCATACAAAATATTCTTTAATACAAAATGTTGCCGGCATTCACATTCACACTCATCAGTTGACAAACAGTTTCCCAGCTGTCAGATAGTTGATAGTTCTGTGACCAAACAGGATCGGTTCGGCGCCGAGACTATGACGGGATTGATGTGTCTGAATCGACCTTTAATAGAAATATGCCGCCGGCATTCACATTGATCAGTGACGAACAGTTTCCCAGCTGTCAGATAATTAATAGTTCTGTGACCAAACAGGACCGTTTCGGCGCCGGGACCGTGACGAGACTGATATGTTTGAATCGACTTTTGGCAAAAATTATAATTTAATATTGGATTGACGCAACATGTGTTTTGATACAGAAATCTTCTAAAAATTCATCTATACACGCCGAAGTTTGCGCGCAAAATTAAAATAACCTGGTTTTACGATGACGATCGAAGTTGCACTAAGAACCTTTTTTATCGTTCCTCCCTAAGATAGCGCGAATAGTTCACTATTGAAATAAAACATTTTAATTATTGCATCATTTCTAATGGCTAGGCCAAGTTAATACGTTTAATTTTAGAGGCCACGGTCACAAATTAAGGATGTGTGTCACAAAGTAGCCTCAATTTACAGTATATGAATATATTGACATTTTTAAATAAATTGCGGACATAATCAAACATAATAACAAAGAAATATTCTTTGATCATAAGCTAATAAACTGAGCATACTTTGAATTGACAAATGACAGGTAACATATTTTTCAAAATCACCGACCGGCTCCGACCGACAAGACAAGGACAAGGCGACAATCGAGATTAATACAAAGAATAATCATATTTTACAATTATTACCGGCAAAGTTTTTTCGAATAAGTTGTTTTGTTCATGGTTTAATTTGTTCCAGACTACTTTGATTTAGGTAAGCTAACATATTTCTAGTAAATACAATATTAATAATTACTGTTTAAAGTATTTAAATTTCACAGTGTAAGCAAAATTTTTGAGAATTAATCACGAGCAGTTCCAGACTTTCACTTTGGTTTAAGTAAGTTAAAATATGGCTAGTTATACAATATCAACAATAACTATTTAAGTATCTAAATGTTTTTAAATTTCACAGTGTAAGCAAAATTTTTGAGAATAAATCAGAGCAGTTTACAACAAATCCTTTGTATTTATCTTTTATCAACTTAGTTCTTCATAATCTATATTACTTTCACATAATTCTACTCATAGGATTACTATAAAATTCCTTATTAGATATTTTTTCACTGTGATCAATTAAATTTGATTGTGGATGTATTAGTAATAGATTATAAAAACAATTATGAAACTGTTTTGTTGTGGAAGGTCTAAGATAAGTATTATGTTTATATGCGATTAAGCCCCATTTAATTGTAATTTTCTTACATTTAATTGTGACATATTAGATTGTATGTAGTGTGGTGATAATAAACATTTTCTTTGTTTATGATATTCATTTTTATTTCTATATATTATTGTATAAAGGTCTTAGTTGTTCTTGCTTGCCTTATTCTGCTTTTAACATTTATTTCTTCTAATTCTGAGGACTGTCTTATTAAGCTGAAATTTGAAATATGTATTGTTCGATTTTCCATCCTTGTATTTTTATGATGAAAATATATGTATATGATATTGTATGCAACAACCTAATGCTTCACATAACAGTAAATTGCCAAATTGTTGACATTGTTCAGTCTTATTTTAACGTTTGTATTTAATTACAGAGCCCACTTAAAATGCCACCCAAAAACAAATCTAGAAATGCATTTTACTACTTTATGGAAGATTTTAAACAAAGACAAGGATTTACTTCTAAATCCATGAAGGATGTAGCAGAAGCTGCAGGTCCCCATTGGGCTAGGATGTCTAAGGCAGAAAGAAGACCTTATGAAGACAGGGCAAGCAGAGAGAAGGGAGGTTTGAGATATACTTGGGGTGAGTTTTGATGTGGTTGTTAATATGGTACCAGTGTACTAAGAGGGTAGGATCTCTCCAAACCTGAAATTTATGTCAATCAATAGATTCTGCTTCTTTTGCAGTACTTTTTATTGGGTGCTGAACGGAAATTTTCATATATGTTCCATTTAAAATGTTTTGTTTTTAAAAATCAGTACCCTAACACAACAAGAAATGGCAGTGATAATAATCATTTCATATCCCAATAAAGATCATTCTCGCCAGAGAGGCCATAGTGATATAAATAATATGTTATATTGTGAAAATAACAATTAACAGATTTTTAATGACATATTTTAACATTTCATTGTTGCCTACTTTTAGCAGGAAATTACTACTTTGTTACTAGAAAACTTGGTATTTTAACTATTTTGCAGAAAATGGGTACATATCTCAAGATTCTATGTGGGATACATTTTTTAAATATGGTATAGCTTTCAGTTATTTGAAAATTTTGTATTTTTAATAGTAAAAAATCAAACATTTTCATTTATTGTTAATATTCAGAAAAATATAAGAATCAACAATTATAAAATAATTAGTTTTGTGAATCTTTTTACTTACCATCAATAACATCCACTTTCGATGTACTAGAGGGTATTTTAAGGTATTCTTTGTGAAACTTTGAAGTAATTGTTGTTTTTGAACATAATGTGGTTAAATTTTCTTTGCACCACTTACAGCAATCTTGAGGTATAAACATTTTTGCTATTTTAGAAGAATTGGGGAGTTTGCTATAAGAAGAATGTAGCTCCATATTTGGTAATTGTTGTTAAATTGAAAAAAACTGTTTTTTAATAAACAGATTTAGTCAATACTTGAGACTATTTTCAAGTAGGTGTTTAAAGTATGTGAATAAGGTCTCAATTAAACTACTGTATGGGCTGAACATATATTAATAATATTCATACATTACAACATGATCAAGTCGCCCATTGTCCCCGTTGGGAAGTGGTGTTGACTTGACATTGACATATTTGACATAGTTACCAGGTTTACGTTACGCCTATCTTACATTAATGTCAAACACCTTCCCTAGGTTTAATTGTATGTCCGAATTTTGAAACATTACATTTCTTACTATCATTATTTTTTGAGCAGCTATAATGAGGACTTACAATATCAGTATTCCTATGTTCATTAAACAAATTTGTTAAATCATTATCCTGAATACATACATTATTTAAATCATTATTATCATTATCCTTATAACTATTTGGGTTTGTGTGTGGATACAACTCAGGTTCAAGATACATGTCTGCTACATCTGATTTTGTATGTGATGGTCTTATGTGTCTTGTGTTTCTTCTAACTATCCTATTATTGCATTCCTTTCTTATCCAGTATGATCTGGGTTCTTTAGCTTTTTCTACAATAACAGCTTTATACCATACTTTATCAACACTACTCTTAACAACTACATTATCCCCCCTTTTATAAGTTGTTGGTGTACGTTTACTATGTTTATCATACTGAACTTTTGTTTTTTGTTGTTGGTCCAATAACAGTTTATAAATCTCATTCTGAATTTTAGGTTGTAATTGTTCACTATTTACTGGTATTTCTGTTCTCAAAGATCTACTATTTAATATTTGTGATGGAGATGCACTTAATGAAATAATAGCAGTATTATTATATTCTAAAACTAACTCACGATAATCAGAGTTTTCTGTAAAACTTTTTTTTTAAATTTGTTTACAAATTCCTACAGCCTTTTCAGCAAGGCCATTACTTTGGTGGTAATGAGGTGAACATGTCAGGACTGTAATTTGTATATTATCATAATATTTTTTACACTTAAATGATATAAATGGTAAATTATCTGCAATTAAAAATTGAGGATAGCCAAATCTGGAAAAAACATCTTGCATTGCATCTATTATGGCTTCAGATGTTTTATTATTTAATGATAGCATCTCTATCCAATGGGAAAAATAATCTATTAGAATTAAGTAAGATTTACCACCAAATTCCAAAATATCAGCCGCAATTTTATTAAACCTCAATTTTGGTATTGAATGTGCTAACATTGGCTCTCTATAATTATTTGGCATGAATTTTTCACAAATTCTACATTTTTTTATAAACTGGACAATATCATCCCAAAGGTTTGGCCAAAAAAATAAAGATCTTGCTTTATTAATAGTTTTACTAGTTCCTATATGACCTTTATGTAACAGAGTAATCATTTCCTGTTTTAGAGATTTTGGTACAATTATTTTATTTTCAACAAAAACAATTCCTGCTTCAACATATATATCATTTTTAATACTGTAATATGGCTTTATATACTCTGGAATCTTGTTTTCTTTAGGCCAGCCTTTATAATAAAAATCAACAATTGTAGCCAAAACTTTATCTTTAGAGGTTTCTTCTCTGAACTGATATATTTTTTATGTGTCATTGGTAAGTATAGTGAGACTGAATGAACCATATCTAAATCAAGGGTTTGTGCCTTTAAACTAGCTCTAGAAAGCATATCTGCAAATTGAATATGCTTTCCTGGAACATAATAAATATTTAATATGTACTTTAATAATTTTAGCCTTAAACGCTGCAACCTTACTGACCCAATTTTGCATATTGGTTTCTGGATAATTGAAATTATTGGTTTATGATCTGTTTGGGCATCAACATCACACTGGTAAATAAAGTTATGAAATTTTTGTGTACCATAAAAAATGGCTAATAACTCTTTCTCTGTCTGGCTGTAATTTATTTCATGTTCATTCATAGACCTAGATGAACATGCAACTAATTTCAACATACCATCATAGTTTTGAAACATACAACACCCAATTCCATTTTTGGATGTATCACATTGCAAAACTATCTTTTTATTTGGATCAAATGGTACCAGAGCTGGCGAATTTGAAATTATTTTCTTTAACTTATCAAAACATTCCTGGTGTTTAGGCAACCATTGCCATTCTACATTGTTTTTTAAAAGTTCACATAAAATTTGCATGTGCTCAGCCATATTTTTAACATAACATCTAATATAGTTAAAGGAACCTATTATTCTTTGTAACTCTAATTTACTTTTTGGAGTTTCTAATTTACATAAAGCATCTGTCCTCTCAGGATCTACTTTCATTCCTAAATGAGAAAAAATTTGTCCCATAAACTTTCTTCTTTTTTGCTAAATTGAATTTTCTCTTTATTAAATCTAGCACCCACCTCTTTTGCTCTATTTATCACCTCTTTGACCGCTTGATCATGTTCATCTTGAGACGCCCCTGCTATGATCATATCATCATGACAAACTACAATGTTTTTAATATCACCAAAATGCTTTTCAACTGCCTCTTGAAAAAGGTCTTGAGAATTTGATAACCCAAAAAGGTAAAACTAAAAACCTGTAAGTTCCATAGTGTGTAGAGAAACAACATTTCCATGAAGAATTTTCATCAATTGAAAGTTGGTGATAACTTTCAGATAAATCAAAAACAGAATATACATTTTTGTTTAATAATTTTGAACATATTTCCTCAATGGACTCCCCAACTCTAGGTTTGCATACTATATGTTTATTCAGATCTGAGGGATCTAAACATATTCTTAATTTACCATTACTCTTTTCGACTATCACCATTCTATTAATACTTGCCCTGGGGTCTATGTTTTCTACCTTAACAATTGCTTTTCTTTTGAATAATCTATCTAGCTCAGTTTTAAGTGAATTTCTAATTTTTATTGGACACTTGGTAGGTGGATAGCAAACTGGTTCAAATTTATCATTTGTTGTAATTTCATATGTGCCAGGAAACTTGCCTGACCCTGTGAAAACTTCAAAATTTTCATTGATAAATTTATCTGTTAAATCAGACCGGCCTATCTTATTTATTTTTATAGAATCAATACGTTTTACCAAACTTAAATTTAAACATGTTTGTCCACATATCAGAACCTGACTTGCACCATCCACAATGACAAAATCTTCAAAAATATTCTTACCCTTACATTTTACATTTAAATTTACTACACCTATAGGATGAGACACATTTCCATCAAATGCCTTTAACACATATTCAGTAGGCCTGGTTTTAAATTGACAATTAAATTTTTTATAAACATTTAAAGGAATAACATTTACATCTGCCCCTGTGTCTAACTTAGCATTCAATTTATAATTTTCAACCTCTATATACTCTTCCCAAGTGTCTATCAAATCAACATTACATACCTTTTTCCTGCTGTTAACATTTCTTACAAAAAATTAATTAGAAGAGGTTGACTCACAATCATCTTTTTCAGTACTTTTAATATTTTTGACCTTGCAGGCAACTGCATAATGGTTTTTTAGTCCACACTTGTTACACTTCTTGCCATAAGCTGGGCATTCCCTCGGACCATGCTTTTTTGCACACCTTCTGCATAAAAAAACTTCTTCTTCAACTTATTTCTCTTCATTCCAAGGTTTTTTCTTTATATCATATTTCTTTTTCTCTATCTTCTGTGTATGATTAATATTTCCTGTGTTATATTGAAACTGTAAATTTTGAGATCTACTTTGCTCACTTGTTCTGCGGAATTCTATAGCTTTATTTAAACTTAATTTGTCTTTAATGTCAAACAGTAGGTAATTTTTGAAAAAAGTTGGACCTGCATCTTTCTTGCACCAAACACCAAAAATGCTTCTTTACCATCATTTTTGAGGAAAAAAAACAAATTCACAACAAAAACTTTTTTTTTCTGTTACAACAATCAGATGACTAAGTTTTGTCTACTACACAAATATGAAAAAATCTGTAAAAAACAGGTTGGTATCAAAAAAATAGCATTCAGAAAAAATAAAGCATTAATCACATGGGCAAAGACATCCTTCGTTCATCTACCTGGTTTTCATCATTTGTTGCAGGAAATCTGGAATCTTTGCTTTTCTCCATCTGAGATAACTTTTTTAAAATGTCCTTCATAGTGACCACTAAAGTTTAGGATCTTATTTTGTTTTACCAGAATGGAAATAAACTGTATGG